CTCTCTCTCCCTCTCCCCGCCACCACATTGTCATTGTACTCAAAATTTCCAGCATGTTTAAAATGAATGTTACATTTCTGATCAGAAAGTTATTAAGCTGTTTACAGTATGAGATAGCGTACTTAATCTCTCAAAGTGCTGAAATTAGATGGTGCATTAAAATAACTAAATCTTAATCCATTTGACTCCTGCATGCTCCATTATATTCAGGTAGATGTATATTGAGGGTGTCTCTGTAACACATTACTTTAAACAGTGTAGTAGGCTATTGTGGGAGCAAAAAGATGAGCAGGGTACAGGTATAACTACCATAACACTTTAGAGCTTGTAATCTAGGTATTTCTAAGTACCTGCAATAGACACATACAAAGTGAGCATGTTAAATAATGCCATTTACACTTCCATCAAGAAACACCAACTACTCAGGACTCTAACAGAAAATAAGCAAGATCCCTATCCAGCAAACATGGAAAGAAAACCCATAAATATCATATTGTCACACTGTTGTAAAGATATTCTCTAAATTTAGCTATTGATTTGGGGCAATCTCAAAGGAAATCTTAGCAGGTATTTTTGTGGATATTACAGTGATTTTTAATATATGTGGATGTCTAGATAACCAATATAATATCAAAAAAAGCACAAGGAAAGAAGTTGGAGGCCATATATTATCACATGGCAAGATTTATTATAAAGCTGCAGTAACCAGACAGCATGATACTGGCACAAAGGGAGTATCAGTGAAATTAGAGCATCCAGAAAGAGACTCCCACATGTAGTCACCCGATTAGTGATAAATGTAAGACAATTACAGAGGAAAAATTAGAGCTTTTCACTAAATGGTGTGAGATCACTTAGATCTTCATATAGAAAGTAATTAATTGTGGTTGATACCTTATATGGTAGCATGTAGAAAAATCAGTTCCAGATATACCTTAGGGCAAAAGGTGGAAAGTAAAGCAATAACTTTGTTAGAAGAAAATAGAATTTCTTTAGGACTTGGAGTAGCTAAGGATTTCTGAAATATGATACAAAAGCTTTATCCAAGGGAAATAGTGACAAATTGGACTACATTAAGATGAAGAACCCCTGTTCGTCAAAAGATCATTATAAAAAGAGAAGAGGCAAGCCATAGTCAGGAAATACTTTCAATATGTTTATCAAGTATAGGACTTGTGTTCAGAATAAATGAACTGGTGGCTTTGGTTCAGTGGTGGAACACTTACCTGGCATACGCAAGGCCCTGGGTTTGATCCTTAGCACGGCAAAAAAGTAAAAACAAAAAAGAAAAAGGAAAAAGACATACGAAGAAGTCTATCACATAAATAATAAAAACCACTTAGGCTAATAAAAAGCAAAAGACTTGTATTGGGACTTTCCAAAAGAGGTCATTCAAATAGTCCGTAAATGTCTGTGAAAAGGCGCTGAGTTGCATTGGTCTTCCTGCGGTAAAATCGGGATGTCATACAACCATATACGTAGTAGAATGGCTGCACTGAAAAAAGGCAGGGAACACCAAGTGCTGGAGAAACTGGAAAGCAGAACTCTCAGACCATACCCCCAGCTATGGGATTGGGTGAGCCCGTCCCCAAGCCTCAGATGCAGTCTTGGCCCACACAGTGGTAACAGGGGGCTACAGTCTGAGGGTCATAGGATGCTCTTGCTCCTTGCCGGACTCAGGGAGCTCAGAGAACCTTCAGGACTTACTGCCCTTTCCTTTCTCTGTGTTTAAAGACTGCCTGATGTTTTTAGGATTTTTTCCAGTGATTACTTAATGAAAGCAGCAGCAGCAGTGACTAGCACTTGCTAGTTTTGTTATCTGTCTACTTATTTACTTGTTGCTCATAACAACACCGAAACAGATAGGTGCTAAAGTATTGAGATGCCATTGCTGCTCCCATTTTACAGTTGTGATAACTGAGGAGCACAGAGATAAAGTAGCTTGCCCAAGATCACTCAGTTAATAAGTGATGAAGGTGTGCTCAACTTGGAGCACCAGTGTCTGTAACTAGCCCAGATACTCCGCTATTACTGCAGAAATGACCTGGACTTTTCACTTCCTGCTCTGCTTTCTCTCAAACTTCCCATCACAGTGCCCCACTTGAGGGTGTCTTTTCCTGATTGTTTGTCCCACCTGTTTTCATTTCTCTAAGGTCCTGGAATATTATCTGTATAATTCCTAAAGTTGTTAATAATGGCCTCATCATAATAACCACAATTTAATAATAGTAATAATAATAACAATAATAATAATAATAATAATAATAATAATACTCTGGTTTCTCTTCCAATCATACAAATCTTTTGCCTTTTTAATAATAATAATGATAATAATAATAATAATAGCTAACCCTACTTCTGTGGAGTGCTCACTGCATGCCAAGCACCAGTAGCTCCTTCCACGCATTATCATCTGGACTGTCTGGAACAACCCAGGGAAGAGGCTTTGACTCCTCCTCCTGTTTTATGGAATTAAGCTGCAGGGAGGTGAAGTGAAGGCTGTTGTCTAGGGCCATAGTTAGCAACTGGCAGGGCCAGGGATCAAGCCCAAGCCTGTTGTACTCCAAATGCTGAACTATTCACCACAGCTCTGTGCTGGTTTTTAAAATTTATTTTAATTAATTTTTAAATTTTTTGCTGTACCTGCATTTGCACCCCTGGCTATGTCCAGTCTTACATTCTGTGATCCACCTTACATTCATGAAGACTGTGTCCTGCGCCATTCGTCATTTATTGAGTACCTAATGTCTACCAAATATTTTGGAGTATATTGGGGTCACCAAGATCAATAATAACCTTGAGCAACTCTTATCAAGTAAGGGAGACATATCATTGTGAATCAAGGCAATTTATGCAGTGGCAAATGCACATGGGTATCAAGGTACGAGGGAGGAGGAAACAGACAAATCCTTGGGGACAGAGAGTGAGGTGAGGAAACCTTTAAGGAAGGCTTCATCGCTGAGGCATGAGCTGAGATTTGAAGTATGAATAAGAGTTTGCTGGTTGTTGAGGGCCATCAGGGTGTTTGAGGTAGGAAGCCCAGTTAATTGAAGTGAGACCTGATCCTGAAGATTTTAAACTTGTTGGCACCTTCAGAGCAGATGCAGTCACCAAGTTACTGCCTCCCTTTGAGCCAGGAGTGTGATGTGTAATGCTGATGGAAGTATGCCATCCTCCACACAGAAGAAAATTCCAGAATGGGAAAAATCTGCCCCTCTCCTCCACTGCCAACAATGTCTTATGACAGGCAAGGTGTCAGGCATCCTGTAAACTGCATGGAGAGAGTGTCACTGATAGCTACCATGGAGTGGTAAAGTGGCTGTCAAACTTGAGTGGGGGCTGGCGATGTAGTGGAGTGGTAGAGCACATGCTTAACATGCATGAGGCCCTGGGTTGGATCCCTGCACTGTGAAACAAACAATTTCAGTGAACTAAGCCCTGCACCTAAGAGCCTGATTCAGTGGGGCTGGGGGAGGGAACAACTTAAACAGATGCATCTGGTGCAGGAGGCCTATGAATCACAGTTTGGAAATCTGCTCTTTGAGCCTCTTGCAGTAGAGGCACTGAGGCAGATGGAGACATACAGATTTATGAGTAGGTCCCCCACGATTCATCCCAGAGTGGTTCAAGTGCTGTGGGGTTGTGTTATCCCAGAGGACAACTGGCCTTGTGCCTCCACTTGTGGCACTGCTGGTAGTTTTGGGGCATAAATAACAGTTTATATTTTTGAAGAGCTATACTACTTATTGTATGTTAAAAACTGCATGTAATTTCTAAATCAAATTAAATACCTATTATACTATATCTAACATATAGCAAACAGCATTAGTATTAATCAGCCCCAGCTCCCCGAAAGTAGCAGGCTGGTCCTAGTTGTTGCATCTGCAAGGTTTTACTTCATATCTTACTAGCTTTAGAGGTTATAGACAAGATGACCCTATCAATTTTTTTTCTTCTCTTGCTCTCATCAGCCCTCAGCCCCAGCCTGGAAGTAGCCATGAAAGAAATCAGGAGTGGCTTTTTCTGAGTCATTTCCTCATTTGCTTTCCTTCCCAAGCCTGGGGCTCCTTTGACAGGTACATTTACCTGGGTCTGTGGGCACTAGAGAAATTGTATTAAAGGGCATGCTAGGCTGCACTACTTGGGTATCGGGGCAGGCTGTTGATCCCTGTGCCATTCAAGGCATGGCTCTTTTGGTGGCTCTTTTGGTTTCTCTATCAGCGGAGAGGCTTCAAGGACTGGACAGCATCTTCCTGTCCACCCCAGCAGCTGGCTTCCGGGCCTGTGTGGATGGCCGAGGTACAGAGCCATACCCTGTCAAGCCCATTTAACTGCAAATTGAAGTCTGTACTCAGCAAATAAGATCACTGTCCCTGGACTGCCAACTGCCCACTTCATTTAAGCCTTATGTTCTGGTTAGTATACTGCGCTTTAGTGGGTATGGCTTTCCAAAGGTAGTCTGTATGACACATTATTTTTGTCTCACCCATTGGCTTTGGAATCTGCCTTCCGTAAGCTTGACTCCATCTCTCCGAATCTCAGCATCAGTCTGCCTACAGGTCCTCTGTTAAGTATTTGGCCTGACCCATGCACCTCCACTGGCATCAGAGGCACTGGAGGAGAGCACATGAAACAGGCTGAAGCCTCCTCTCCCCTTAAGTGTACTGAGTCCTGCTCTCTGAATGTGCTCCAGCAGGTCCCCTTTATTAAGCTGTTCAGGTGATTCTCTTGCACATTGAAGTTTGAGGGTGGCTGTCTCCAAGGATTTGTTGATGATCTTACCTCAGGTTGGGTTGATGTATCTTTAGTATTTAATGCATCAAGTATTGACTACCATTTTTCTTGGGTGGTGAGTCAAGTCTAATATGAATGGGAAATTGTGCTAACTGAAGCTGAAGAAACACTGCTTTGTTTCCCCCAAAATATTGTTAATGGTCACTGTACCTGGACCTGGGTTTCATGTCCATTGGTAACTTGTTATTTTCTTCCCTTCTTCTCAGGTATTTGTACCACGTCTTGACCAAGAACACCACAGTCACAGAACAGAATCGGAATCTGCTGGTAGAGACCATTCGCTCCATCACTGAAATCCTGATTTGGGGAGATCAGAATGATAGCTCTGTATTCGAGTAAGAGTTTCCAGTGCTTTTTGTTTTTCGATTCTTCCTCTTCCTTTGCATGTTTTTCCAAGTGTATACCATGAGTCATTCCGGATGATGTCAGGACTTAACGCAAATTTGGTCTTGCCCAAATATCTGTCTATATAAAATGTCCTTGAAACGCTATAAATGAAAGCCAAAAATGGGGAACTTGTAGAAAGGAGTGTCTCTGGACACCCTGAAAATGTCGTGGATAATTTTCTAAGCAGTGGCCTCAAAGGAAGGAGAAAATGTCATGAGTGATTTGGATTCTCGCCCTGAGGAAGTCACTGAGGGCCAGGCACAATGCTGTTTTGAGGAGACAGTGCTGGGAATCTCCCATCCATCTAGGTGGAGGCCCTGTAGTACCCCCAGTTTTGCTCACAGCTGGTAGGTGATAAAGGAATAAGCCTGTCATACCCAGAGCCCATAACAAGGCTTCTCCCTTCCACCCTTTCCTTCTGCTTCCTAGATGAGCAGTCTTAGGCTATGCTCTTTGTCTCCCTGAGCCTCAGTTTCCTCATCTTTAAAGGAGTGGAAAAGTTCTGTGTTCAATGTTAGACCCAGAGGATGTACTCTTAAATGATAGAAAATGATACAAACCCACTGAGTGGTTAAACTGCAAAGTCTATTAACTATGAACTACCTCCCCAACAAAGCTACTTCCAGGAGGATATGCGATTGAATTATAAGAGTGGTGGTAAACCTATGACACATGTTTTATTGTGTTTTTCTTTTAAGACAAAAGATACTAAGGTATGAGTTGCTTTTTCTAAACTAAAACCTCAATATTCAGGTTTAATTGCAGTGTTGGCACTTTGTGATAAATAAGTGGGTTTTGGGTTACAGTTTGGCACTTGGTCTCTAAAAGGTTCACCGTCATTGGTTATAAAAACCACCAAACACCGATTCTGTGTGTGTGTGTGTGTGTGTGTGCGCGCGCATGTGTGAATTATAAATATTGAGGCCATTTATAAAACGCGTAAAAAAAATGTGTTCCATTTCTAACCTGACTTCTTACTAGTTATCCTGAATTGATTTTCAGAATAGCTCTGCACTTTCATCAATAAGGTTATCTAACAAAGCTCCTTATAGAAAACACAAACTCCTTAAAATGCAACCCCGTTAAAAGATTTGCCTTGTTAAAAATTAGAAAGTGTCCCCCTTTTCTAGAATGAGCCTTTTTAGTCTGTCATTTAGAAAAGCTGCTGAGCTCTTAGAGATTCTTTGATTCCCCAGATTATGGCCAAACAGAGTCCTCAAGAATTTTTTTTTTTTGGAAACAGTCTCACTCAGGCAGTAGGATCACCACGAGTTTGAGGCCAGCCTGGCCTACATATGAGTTCAAGGCTAGTCTGAACTATATGGCAAGATCCTGTCTCAAAAAAAAAAAGAAATAAAATTTTTCTGGCTTTTAATTTATTTTCAGATTTTTGTAATAATTTTTTATATATAAAGAAGTTGTAAAGATAGTACAGAGAGTTCCTGTCTTCTACCCCCCCACCTTGTTTCCCCCCTTATTAACATATCATTAGGGAGCATTTCTCACAACCAAGAAACAGACATTGGCATATTACTATTAAGAAAATTTCAGCTGAAGATATAGCTCAGTGGCATAAGCGCCTGCCTGGCAAGTGCAAGATCCTGAGTTTGATTTCTGGTACCAAAAACAAAAAAAAAACCTTAAGAAAATTTCAGACTTGGTTTGGATTTTGCCAGTTTTTGCATGAATAGTTTCTTAATGCTCCAGGATCCCATCCAGGTGTCTCAGTTGCATTTAGTTGATAGGGCTTCCTCTGATCTGTGAGGTTTCTTAGTCTTCCCTTGTTTTTTATGATCTTGACAGTTTTGAGGAGTTCTGCCCAGGTCTTCCATAGACTGTTTTCCCATCTGAGTTTGTCTGATGTTTTTCTCATGATTTGGGTGAGGTTTGTAGGAGGGAGAGGGGAAGCGCCCTCCTCACCCATCAGAGCAGGATGCCAGTGATGAGTATAGGGCATCCCTCTCATGTTGCCACCATTGCCTGGCTGAGGTGGTGTCTGCCTTGTTCCTGAGAAGTTACTATTTCCCCTTTCCCTGTGCTTTTCTTTAGAAGAATCATTAAGTCTAGCCTACCTTTCACGATGACAGTGGAAAGCTCTACCTTCTGGAAGTATTATATATATTAAAATGCTTCTGCATGGAAGATTTGTCTTTATTGATTCATTTGACTGTTTATATCAGTATAGACTCATGGATATTTGCATTATACATTGGGTAATAATCCAATGCTTTGTTTTTATAGTTTTTATTATAAAAACTTTTATTATATAAAATTTTAATTTAAAATTTTATTATATTTATATTTATATAAAAACTTTTATTATAGTTGGGTTATAATCCAACACTTTGTTACATTGTCCCAGCTTTGGCTGTTGGAGCCTCTTTCAGATTTTTCCTGTGTCTCTTTGCAATGTTCTCAAACTTTTGTTTTTTGAGCATTCTCCTACTCCTAGTACTGTAAGATATTCTAGGCCCAACTTATATTTGTCCTGCCCCAGCTTTAGAATCAGCTATTTCTCCAAGGAAAGCCTTGGGAAAATTCCAAAAATTCAAGCTGAAGGTTTCGTGCTAGACCCTCTGAATCTTGGGGCAAGATCTAGGTGTACACATCTGAACAAGTCCTCAAGTTGGTCACTGCAGCCGTGAGAGTGCTGGTAATACTTAGAGTCACTGATTTATACTACCTAACGTGAAGGTAGACAAAATAGGTCAAATGACAGAAATATTCTGCAGGTCAGTGTGAATGGCATTTACAGCAGACAGGCTTCCAGAATCAGTGTTGGAAAAAGTTTTATTTTTTTTTTTAAGGTTATATTTATCTATTCATTTACCCTTTCATGGATTCAAGCAGAAGTTACGCAGCACTAAGCAAATGCCGGACCCCTGATCCCACTACTGTGGAGCTGTGGTCAAGGGCAGAGAGAAATACCCAAAACTAAGTCAACCAGGAGACATGTGACTGCAGGGATTTCTGGTGATTGTTCCAAGTGACTTAGCTTGAATGCACAGGGAATAACCAGAACATTATTTTCTTATTTTAAAGAAAGGCATCATGGGGTTCTGATTCCCCCAAAAGCCGGTATACCAGGCCTAATTCAGAGACAAGTCTTGTCCAGACCAAGACAAGCAGAAACAGACATAAGGGTGGGTTAGAGTCCCTCCAATATGTCAGCAGGTTTGGTGTTCTTTTTAGTTCTTTTCCCCAGATGCAGAACCTTGATGACTTGGAAATTAAAGCTCCTTTATTATTCAGCATTATTTTCTGCAGGGAATTCCCACTGTCGTTTTTCTTAACAAAGATAAGGGGAGAGTAAAGGAAAGAGGCTTAGTAAGGAAACAGAGGATATACAGTATGATGGGAAATGCTACTTCCTAGGTTAATAAGCATAGATTACAGTGTGATCACTTAGTAGGTAAAGATCATTCCCATTCTGTCAGCAAATCTAGTTCACTGTTTCCTGGAATCAGCTCTGTTCTTACATTCTGGGAAGAGAGTTGAAAGGTCACATGTTGACCTTGATGGAAGATGGCATCATGGGAACCAGATATGTGGGAACCAAGGCCATGTGGGTGGTGTGATCTGGTGTCCTTGCTGATGTTCTTTCAGGAACAGGGCTAACGCATATCCTGCGAATGTAACCAGAAGATGACTTTATTTATTTATTTATTTATTTGGTACTGGGAATCGAACTCAGGACCTTGTGCTTGCCAGGCAGGCACTTGTGCCACTGAGCTATATCCCCAGCCCCAGAAGATGATTTTAATTTCTTGTGTCAGAGCAAGTCACTGACTCTGTCCCATTCTCTCCCCAGCTTCTTCCTGGAGAAGAACATGTTTGTCTTCTTCTTGAACATCTTACGGCAGAAATCAGGCCGCTATGTGTGCGTTCAGCTGCTGCAGACCTTGAACATCCTCTTTGAGAATATCAGTCATGAGACCTCGCTTTGTAAGGACATTCCTTGACACTTGCCTGTGGACTGGGGCATCAGTGGGGTGTAGTTTGGCGGAGTTTTTGTGCGTCTCTGCTTACCTCGGATGTTAGTCTGCTTGGGCTGCCTTAACAGAGCACTGAAGACTGAGTGGCTTAAATAGCAGATGTTTATTTTCTCACATCTCTAGAGGATAAAAGTACAAGTTGAAGCTGTCATCAGCATTGGTTGCTGGTGAGGACTCTTCCTGGCTTTCAAATAGCCAATAGTTTAAGTCTGTTTTCTGTTGCTATAACAAAATACCCAAGACTGAGTGTTTTATAAAGGAAAAAGAGTTATTTTGGCATGTGGTTCTGAAGGCTGAGAAATCCAAGACTGGGCAGATGAGACCTTGTACTGCTTTGATTTGTGGCAGAAAGCACAAGAAACAGAGGGCTTGTGTGAAAGAGGGAGAACACTAATTTTAATCTGATTTGGGGGGCAACTAATCCATGAAAGTGAAAACTCATGCAAGAAAGGCATTAATTGCTCTGTTCATGAGGGCTCCTCCCCTATGACATAAATACCTGCTATCCCACCAGGCCCTGCCTTCCAACTCCGTGATTCTAACCATGAATCTTTGGGGTACACACTCAGATCATGCCAGTCACCTTCTCGTTATGTGTGACCTTTCCTCTGTGTATGTGTGTGTATGTGTGACAGAGCAAGTATGAGAGTGAGATTGACAAACCAGAAGGAGGGAAGGAGGGAGGCAGTCCTGGTGTCCCTTCCTCCTCTAATAGGGACACTAGTTCCATCAAACTATTGTAGGTCCTGACCTTTAATGACCTCATTTAGCCTTAATTGCCTCCTAAAAGCCCTATTTCCAAATATGACACATTGAGGGTTAGGACTTCAATATATGAATTTGTTGGGGATGCAGTTCAGTCTATAACGCTGTTATTGCTGTGTGGTGGGGTACTGTGAAGGGCTAAGAGAGGGTCCCCCTCTTCTGAACAATCCTGGGAGTGTTTGCATTCTTTATGAGTTGCTATTGAGAAGTTGGCTGTTGAGTAACCAACCCATGGATTAAGTGTTGGAGGAGGCAGGGTGAGGATGAACAGCTAAAGAGTCTGCAAGGGCGCGGGCTATGGCCCTTAACTGTCTTCTACCCTTCTGCTGCCCAGCTAGTTACCATGGGACTCTGCGTACATCATCTGCCCTCACTAAGCCATTTCTTTACCTGTAACAAGCATCCCTGTGATGCAGGGGCTGTTGGTGTCTTCATTTTAACACCAGGAGAGTTTGAATCATGGGCCCAAGGTGATAGCTCTAGCAAAGCCAGAGTAGAGAAGGTGTTTCAACCCAAGTGAATAAGCTCAGTGGTGCTCAGGTGGGGTGTTGGTGTCTTTCAGGGGGCATTGACAGTGTCTGGAGATACTTTTCAGAGGGACTGCTGCTGGCATCTAGTGGGTAGAAGCCAAGGTTGTGCAGATATCCTGTAGTGCACAGGACAACCCCACAATGGAGAATTACCCAGCCCAGACTCTCCACAGTGCTGAGGCTGAGCAACCCTAGATTAAGTCCTCATCCTCCATGCTTGATTGCTAGCTTTATTATTCCAAGGTGGCAGCACAGCCCAAATCCTGGCTGCAAGAAGTGGAAAAGAGAAAACAAGTGGCTGAGTGTCTGTATCAGAGGAGGTGCTTGGTCTCTGGCACATTTTTGGAAAAAGTGTGCTGTGGGCCAAAGGAGGTGGACATGGTGGCCTTTTTCCTAGGATCAAGAGAGCTGCTGTGAGGCAGTTCTCAGCAGCGGCCAGTAGGTGGTGCTGCTGCCGCGGCGACTTTTCTTACGTTTGGGACAACCGCAAGGCAACAGACAAATGTGGGTTGATTTATGTCTCCCTGCGTGGTTTCCCGTTATCAGCTTTTATTTTTCTGGATATGAAACAAAGGAGTTTCTAAACTCTCTGATCGGGGAAGATCCAGCTGAGTGACACAGGCCTAGGACTCTGCCTGAACCCGGTCTGGGGCTGATTCAGCTACTTGCTCCCTGCTTGTGCTTAGGAGTGGAGATACCAGTAGCTGGTGGAGAGGGTGGGTTAAGTGTGAGCTTAGGATAAGCACCAGGGGGCGAGAAGTGGCTATATAGTACTGGTTGTGTCATTTAGTGAGACAGTCCCTCTAGTCTTGTCTTGGGCAACCCTTTCCAAGCCCAGCTGGACACAGGAGTATGGGATTAAAGATGGGGATTTTATAAACTCAGGCTTTTTATTGTGTAAGGTATACAACTTGATGATTTGGTTTGTGTGTATATTGAGATAATAACCATATTGAGAATAACCATAATCAAGCTAATTAGCATATTACATCATGTGGTTGCCTTTTGTTGTGTAGTAAGAACCCCTTTTAGCAGATTTCAAGTAAATAGTACAGTATTGTTAACTGTAGTCACCATGCTATCTTTTCCTTTGAGCTCAAGAATTTAGCCGTCTTCCAAGACTGAGACTTTATATGCTTTAACCAACATCTCCCCATTTTCCCTGTGCCCCAACCCTGGTCACCGCCTTTCTACTCTCTGCTTCTAGGAGTTTGACTACTTTAGATTCCATTCATAAGTGAGCTCATGCAGTATGCATGGCTTTTCTTGTAGTGGAACCAAAAAGGGTGCCTTGCTGTGAGAAAGCCAGACAGATGGGCCCCTTGCTTTATGGATAGCTTGCCAGAATGCTTTTATAAGCCCTGCAGATACTCTGGTTTCTCTCTAGATCATATAAATCTTCGCCTATAAGCCCTGAAAAAACAGCAGAAATCTCTGCCTATTTGTAAAACTTTTGTTTGCAAGGGATGAAGAGAGGTGACCTTTGGTTTTATTTTCTTGGTTTTTTAGGGTTTTTTTTGTTTTTTTTTTTTTTTTTTTCCGGTACCGGGAATCGAACTCACAACCTTGCGCTTGCCAGGCAGGCGCTGTGCCGCTGAGCTAAATCCCCAGCCCCAAGGTTTTATTTTGTAATCATAAAATTGTCCTCATTGTGAAAAAATAAAATACCAAACATTATAAAAATAGAGAAAGTTAAGTTTCTGTAGCATCCCATTGTAACAGTTCAGTCTACACAAGCCATTTCACTTTACTCTCCCACCTCAGCAGCGTGTCTCAGATCTTCTCCTCCATCTTGGTGTAAGAACAGCATCTTGCTGTGCTGTGATCTGTTTAACCTACAGTGGGCATTTAGGTAGTTTCCAGTTTTTCGCTATTACCAGCAGCCATTTCATACATGCATCTGTTGCCCGTTGGGTTTGGTGACCTATGTGACAGAGGCCTGAGAGGCTGAGATTACTTGCAGACTCCTGGGCTTATTATAAAAGAATACCACAGAAAGTCAGCCGCATAGGGAGGTGGGAGTGGAAAAATCCCAGCCAAATAATAGATACTCTTCACTCTTCCACTGCCCTGTAGTGGTCACCTAACACCCATGGAGTCATCTCTTGGAGCCCCTGGAAAAGCCCCTATGGGAAGAGGACAAAGCCTGTGGCTGTTTCAGGTCTAGCATGTAGACCTGAAACAGCCACAGATTCAGTTGTGTATCAGCCACTGCCAGCTTAGGTATCTGTGCTGCTAGTGATGCAGAAGCCGCCCACCAGTCACAACGGGGCTCACAAAGTATCTGGACATTCCCTTTTTCTGTCAGCTCATTTGCCTGTTGTTTCTAACCACAGCCAGAGTGACACCGGGAAAAAGAAGGTACTCCAGGTATCAGAATCACTTGAGGTTGCATGTTACATGCTAGAGTCTAGCTGGATAAATCTGTGCACTATTCAAAGACTGGGATACTATATAATGAAAAAAGGGAGGCAGGGAATGAACTATGACCACCACACACAGTGACGTGGATGACTGCATGATGTGGTGATGAGCAAAAGGGGCCAGGCCCAGGCAGAGTGCATGCTGGCTGACTCCATTTATGACAGGGGTTTCAAGAATAGGTGTAGCCAGGCTTGGTGGCACATGCCTGTAATCCCAGTACTTGGGAGGCTGAGGCAGGAGGATTGTTGTAAGTTCGAGACCAGCCTGGGCTACAAAGTGAGCTTAAGACCAGCCTGAGCTGCATAGTGAGACCCTGTCTCAAAAAGACAAAAAAAAAGAAAAAAGAATAGGTATAAACTGTCTATGGAGGTAGGAGTCAGAATGGGGCCCACCTTTGGGGAGGAGACACTGGCGAGGAGGGAGGTGAGGGAGCCTCTGGAGCGGGGATCCGGGGAGGCCAAGGTTTTATCTTGGTGATGCTTACATGGTGTACAAGTATGTAAAATTCATCAGCTGGACACCTAAGTCTTGTGCTATATAAATACATCCATCCACAGAGTTAAGGTTTGTGCCCCTGTATATCCAACTGTATCCTTAGCATTTGTGACATAGGTAGCCTCATTTTTAGAAACATTAAGATTCCTATGCCCCCACCCCAGACTTGTGACTTCTTTGGAGCAGGCCCTGAGAGCTGCCTTGGGAATGGTTATGGTCAGGAGACTTTGGAAGCTTCTTCTGAGACTACAGTCTGCATGACCTGCTTACTGATTCTGCTCAGAAATGTGCAGTGACCTTCCTAGAGAACTGGTTTCTGAGCAGGACCAAGCATGAGTCCACACTGTGACTCTTGTCATGGTCCTGAGCTCCTGAATAGCTCTTGGTGGTGGTTGGGTGATTCCAGATAGAATGTTCAGTAATAACATGACTGACCCACACTAATAGCTTGTTGGCTCATCGCTGAACGGGATGTCTCCACTTGCCCAAGAGCCATGCTCAGCCCTTGAAATACGGCAGCTGAGATGATGAATCTCCAGAGTGTAGCCATGGGCAGAATAGTGGCAATTAGCGACAGTGAGTGTTTACTTTGTGCCCATACTGCCCTGAATGCTTCTGTGCGTTATCTCCTTTAATCCTCCCACACAGCCTGAGGAAAGCATTTGGATACTGTTTCCTAGACAAGGAAATTGAGGTGAGGATGCTGAGCAGCTTGCCCATGGTTGTGTGGCTGAGACAGGGCAGAGGCAGGATCTGGACAGAGGCACCTAGATCTGAGTTCTCCTTGGAACCGTGTCACACAAACGTGAGCTTGTGCAGGAACCTTCGTGGGCTTCTTCCACCCATCGTGTTGGTTCCACCCAAGGACTCTGGCCAGCAGCTCAGGCTGGCCGCAGCCTCTGTGTGTCTCCAGGGGGTGCTCTGAGGAGCCAGGCTCTGAAACACACCACTCTCCTGCCCCACCTTGACCATCTGTGGGAGGCAGGGGAGTTGCAGCAGTGCTCACCTCTAGCAGCCCAAGAAATAGACAATGGGGACAGCAGCGCCTGCTTTGCAGTGGCTGGTGAGGACGCAGCAGAGCATGCCCAACAAGGGCCCGGTACTGAGATCCAGACCTCAGGCCATGAGCTGCAGCTGTTTTTGCTGGTTGGCACAGCTTTTAAAACTAGTTGGTGTTACAGTCAGCATTTCAAGATCAGGAACTTCGGCCTTGCAGTCTGTTCTTTCCAGCTTCCCTTCCTCAGTTGGAAGCTCCAATCATGCTGGACCTGCATTTCCACAGGGATCGGGAGCCCAGAGAGGGGGGGAAGGTGGGCTGCCCTCTAGTTAGCTCCAGGCCTCTCAGTACAGGTCTTCACTGTCAGCTCCTATTAGTGCAAGGCAAACCCAGGCTCTGTCTTCAGACTGGAATATGAGTCCCTTCTCTGTGACTTGGTGACTGCATCCTCAGGCCAGTGATCAACCTCTCTAAGCCTTCTTTCCTCATCTGCAACATGGAAAGAATGAGCCTTGCTCTGGGAATCATTGAGCCTAGTGTTTGGCATTTAGTGGGGATTTAGCACAACATGAGCTTTATGAAGTCATGTTGCTGTATAAGAAAAAAAGCCATGTGTAGCCCTTTGTGGCATTCAGGGACAGTGATGTGACTTCAGATGGCAAAATGGGGCAACTTTTTTAGAACACAATGCCTTTTACTGTCACTTATAGGTGGTTTGTGAAAGTGCTCACACCGCCTAGTCTTCCACATCCTGCTCTATGTTGATCTCTGCCAGCAATGAAAAAAAAAGTTCGAGTGTTGGTTCCTTCTGGTGTGCATGGGTAGGAGGGAAGGCTTTCCTCTGGCATTTCCTTTAAATGTTCCAATTACTGTAGTACCATATATAGTAGATGATTTCTTTACAGGCTAAAAGTTAAGTTAAAGTAAATTGTTTAATCCCAGCAACCCAGAAACTCAACAGATCCAGGTACATTTTCATGGTCATCTGCTTGTTACCCAACATCCTTTGCTTGTGTTCTCTCTAGCATGAGTTAACTTGGCTTTTTTTCTTCTTCCCTCAGATTATTTGCTGTCTAACAACTATGTAAATTCAATCATTGTCCATAAATTTGACTTTTCTGATGAGGAGATTATGGCATATTATATATCATTCCTGAAAACACTTTCATTAAAGCTCAACAACCACACTGTCCATTTCTTTTACAATGAGGTAAGTAACTGATGGGCAGAGGAGTACATTTAGGTGTAGAGCTAAACCTGTCACAGCAGCACCTTGGAGCTCTGTGGTCGGGCGTCTGTTTAGAATGCACTCAGGTGTTTTCTCTCATGATTTTCCCAGCACACAGTTTGACTTGGGCATGCTCTAAAAATTGATTCAAAAATTACTGTTTTATTTTTAATATAAAATTCGGTTTATGCTGAGAGTATTATACTTAGCAGAGAAAAGGGTCTAGTTGTCTTGGGATAGTGATGCCCTGTTGGAAGAACAGGAACTCCCGTCAGGACTGCTTTGCCACTTCCTTGCTGGGTGATTTTAGGGAATTTCCAGTCCCTCTTTGAGCCACAGTTTCCTCATCTGAGAAATCAGAATAAAAATACAGACCTTGCGGATTTTTCAGGGGTTGAAGTAAATGATACCTTCAAAGCATGTAGTATATATATGGCTCTCTAGAATTGTAGACATTACTGTTCTGTACAAGCTAATATCCCTGGTATTCCTTGAGAGAATTATTAACAACTGAAATAAACTGCTGCTGCTGTCACAATTATAAGGAGCTTGAACAAGAAGGTCCCTTTATCACATGTACATACAAATGCCAGCCATGCTGGAACTGGCTCACCCTATGGTTCACCCACATCTTCACGGATCCTGGGTTTTCCGTCTTCCCGCTTCCTTGACTGTGCAGTTGGCATCTGTTCTCCAGTTCAACCCTTTAGGGTCACAGGACGGCTGCAGCAGCTCCAACCATCACATACTCACACGCTACTGTTGAAATTTCTGATGAGTTCACTTCCCTTCTTTTGTGCCGTTTTGACCTCTAAAAACCTTTTTTAGAACTCTCCCACCAGATTTCCTCTCCTGTCTCCCAGGTCAACCCCCCACCCGCCCTCAGTGTGTCTGGAATTGGGGGTCAGCCTGGCAGGACTGCCCTGTCAGTCTCCCAAGAGGCTGCGTCATGGGAAGGCTGGACTGGGGAGGGAGAGTCTGCCTCCAAGCTGCCTCAGTCACAGGGTGGCCAGTTGGCACTGGCTATTGGTAGGAGGCCTTGGTTCCCCTTTGTGTGGGCCTCTTCTGGGTGCTGCCAGTGTCCTAGGGCTTAGCAGCTGGCTTCCCTGGGTGAGTGTTCAAAGACAGAAGGCAAACTAATGCCTTGTATGGCCCAGCTTCAGAAGTGACACACTCTCACTTCCACCTCACTCCTGTTCTCAGGGCCACACAGGCCAGCCCTGACTCAGTGTGGAGAGGTGACCTGAGAATGTGAACATGGGAGGTGGGGATCTTTAGGGACCGGCTTGGGTTTGGCTCCTAGAGTCGTGTGCTGTGTGAGGTGTCTTCTGATTGGTGGCTGTGTACACGTAGAACCTGTATCTGAAGTTAACCGTGGTCCCGAATGTGTTTTCTAAGTTTGGGCCGAATCCATTCAGCTGTCCCCATATGATGAGGCATCAGCAGGCTGAATCTTGACTTTGTTTAGGGGTGAGAAGAGCTAGTCTCTAAGGGAGGAAAATGCTCTGGTGTCTCTTCAGATTGCATAAATCTTTCACCTTTTCTAAGGGAGGAAATACTATCTGTCTAAACAAAACATAGATAGCCACATGAAAAGTTAACAGCGTGAGGTCCTGTGCCTGGCACACAGTAGGAGGTGCTCAACAAACACATCCAGAGAGCGATGGTTGGATGATAGTAGCCTTCTCTCCCAGGTGGAAGAAAATCTGCCTGTGAGGTTTAGACCAGAGTGAAGGGCAGATTCACTCTCCACAGAGGAGCAGCTGAGCTTCTGTGCACAGGGCTTGGAGGGCAAAACTCCCCACCCAAGGGCCAGAGTGCTGCTTTTAGAAGAAATGCCTGCTGGTCGTCACAGGAGTAGTAGGCAGGAGCCTCATTTTGAGGTGAGCTTGATTTCTTCTGTAGTGTGAGCCGGTATAGTAGTTGCCACTTGTTTGCTGCATACTTGGCCTGTAGTTCTCAAAGCAGTGTTGTGCTTACTGGATATTTGTTACCTTGAGGTGTCCCTCCTCACAGCCGACCTGAGATGCTGGGGTTCCCTCTTGGGCTGCTGTGGGTGCCTTCGCAGTTGGGTCAAAGAGCTATAGGGGAACTTTGTCCACCAGAGGGCAGCAGAGCACACCACTGTGGCTTCTGGCCCACGTTCCAATGTCCTCTCTCTGTGGTTTTAAACTGTTCAGCTTCTTTACACACACACACACACACACACACACACACACACACACACACGTGCACACATACATTTTCTGCCCTGGTGCAGGTACCCTATCACTGAGCTGTACCCTAGCCTTCATTGTCTTTTTTCTATAGCAGAGGACTCCTGGGAGCCTCTTTTTCCTTTTTTTTTTTTTTTTGGTCTTTTTGAGACAAGGTCTCGCTATGCAGTTCAGGCTGGCCTTGAGCTCACTTTGTGGCCCAGGCTGGTCTCGAACTCCCGACGATCCTCCTGCCTCAGCGTTTTGAATGCTGGGATTACAGGCGTGTGCCACCACACCCAGCTGGGAGCCTCTTTTTCCATGATAATGTTTACACTTTTAGTATTTCCAAATAGAGAAAAATATAATGGCCAATAGACACTCCAAGCTTAGCAAAGCTTTATCCTTCAGTTACTTGCAGTAGTCTCTAATAATGATTAGCATTACTATTTGGTACTTATTAGGTGTCAGGTGCTGAGTTAAACACTAGACTAGAAATGGTTTAATTTAATTCCAGCAAATATGAAGTGGATGCTGCTATCTCCATTTTATAGATGAAGAAACAAAGGCTTTGAAATATTGCCTTGCACAGCTAAGAAGTAGTAGGATGAGTATTGAACTCAAATGTGACGTTATTTGAACCTTTTCGGTTTCTTTTGTGGCCGTACCTCCTTGTTCTGTCCCACATTCCCCACTGGGAATGAACCACTGGATTGAGGATCAGGGTGGCAACCTTTTTTTTCGTATTTTATTGTATTTTTCTTTTTTGTCATTTATTTATGTAGTCTCTCATTCTGATGGGTTTCAGAAAGCTAGGGTGGAGACAGGTTGTCTTTTAGGTTTGTAACTTTCTGGTACTTCTTTTGCTTTAGCACACCAATGACTTTGCCCTGTACACAGAAGCCATCAAATTTTTCAATCACCCTGAGAGCATGGTTAGGATTGCTGTAAGAACCATAACTTTGAATGTGTATAAAGGTAAGTTTCCTTTCCTATTCCTGGGCTGACTTCTAATTCAGCAGCAAGAGCTTGTGTCATGTGTTTCTGCCTCCAATTCTGTGAGAATGACGGGAGCCCATTTAGTATAAGCTGGGGCTGTGTACCTTATAGAAGGCTTGAAGCCATTGAGCCCTTAACTAGTCCCTCATGTAGATCCCTGTACCACTGCCTTCTCCCTGCATGGTGCAGCCTTGCTCAGAAGTAAGGTATCCTAAGAGACACATGTGGAATTCACAGAAATAAGTCAGATAAAGCAATTTTATCTATTAAATGTTAGATTGAAATGTTTTTGTGTTTGGGTTTATGAATATTCTTCAGTACAGCTAGATTAATGAATATAAGCCTTTTATATCATGAGCAGCAGGGGGCAATGTTGTATTTCCATCTGGCTACAAAGCCCAGCAAGGACAAATTCCTTTCTTTCAAGATATATTTAATGCTCCCAACACTGCCTCTGGGAGAAAGCCCTTCCAAAAGCTGGCTGTCCCCGAGTTTCTGGAGCTGAGCTTGCCCCTTCAGGGAACTGCCTTGGAAGGTTTCTGCCTAATGCCCAGGTTAATTCCCTTGCGGACGCTGCAGTGGAGCTGGGTCTCCATTTTCTCAGGGATTAAGGAGGACTTTAACCTTCAGGAGTCTAGATGTTATTACTCGAGAGGTCCCTTAATTGGGGGCATAGGAGGCTCTGCAAGGAGTCAGGCAGACCCAGTTCTGGGTCAACATTAAGTTTAAGAGCCTTTTTAGAAGCCCATTTGGGGCCACCAGGAAATTGCAAACCGAGTGCCTGCAGGCAAAATCCAGCCCTTAGACATGTTTTAATTGGCTTAGATGTTTTTTGAAAAGAATATACAATTGCCAGTATTTTAAAATGGGGAGATATTGTATGACACTATATCTTCTGACTTGAAGATGTAAGTTTGGCCATTCTAGGCCCACGTCCTGCAGGGGAGGGTCAGCTGCTGCTGAGAAGCAGCTCCTTCTTTTGGGCTTGAGGCCTGGACTCCTCCGTGTACTTACTGGGCCGTGTGGCTTCACTTCTGGTCCATCGACCAACCTGGCAGCACTTGAGTTTGCGACCCTGGTCCAAGCTGTGGTTGGGTCACATTGCCTTCTGTTCTGTTTTCTCTTGTTCTCTGCTAACCTGTATCTTTTGGTTTAGATGCCTCCTGCCCCAGCTATCTGTCGCTCTAGGCAGCTGTCTCACCTTCCCAGTTCCTAACCCTGTTAACTGTTGTCTGTTTTTTGCCTTTCCTTCAATGACGATTCCTGTTCCTTATTCCAGTGTCATGTAAGTTATTAACCTCTGGTTTTCCACTTTTTAAACTTATCCTTACATGTAAATACAGGAAGCTTACTTAACAATGGTGTACTGCTCCTAGCAGTTTAGCTAAATCCATGCTGATACACAAGCTCTCCAGTGCACTAAAACTGCTTAGCACTGCTTATTTATTTCATTAATTTAAGAATAGCATAAGAACTACCATGACAAGCATAATTTTATGAATAAAATAAATATTTACAAGTATTTCCAGCAAAGACAGATAATTTCAGGGAGCTTTTTCGTTGTAGTGTTTGGGTTTGTTTGCTTTTTTTTTTTTTTTAAATCTCCTCCAAGTTATTTTTGGTAGCTTCACTTCTATTTTTCTTTTGTGAATTTTCTCAGTGGACAACCAGGCCATGCTGCACTATATCAGAGATAAAACCGCCGTCCCTTACTTCTCCAATTTGGTCTGGTTCATTGGGAGCCATGTGATTGAACTTGACACCTGTGTGCAGACTGATGAGGAGTAAGTGAAGCCCCCAGGGTGTGCGTGGGTCGCCATAGTGTTTAGGGGAGAATTCAGTTTCCATCGTGGAAAAATAAAGACAAGAAAAATAGTTGGCTACCTTGGTGTAGGCGGAGCGTGGACTTCTGCATTGTTCAAGGTTCTCCCTACGTGTTTGAAAAGATGGAAACAACTCCCATACCTTCCAGAGGGGCAGAGGAAAAATAAACTCAGTACACTCATAGATGGGGTTGCCAGGCAACCGGAGAGAAGCCTAAGGTGATGTGTTAACTGATGAGTGAATCATCAAAATGTGGTCTGTCCATACAAAAGAATAGTATTCAGCAATAAAACAGAGTGAAATACTACAAGTTATGACATGGATGAACCGCAGAGACGGTGTGCTCAGTGAAGGAAGCAGACACAAAGCAACACCTCTCATTATGATTTCCTTTACATGCAATGCCCAGAACAGGGAAATGTAGAGACGAAGAGCAGATTCCCGGTTTCCCAGGCCAGGGGTGTGGCAGGAGGGGGTACTGTTAGGGAGAAATGGGGAGCCCCTACTAAGAATATAGGTAGGACTTTTGGCAGAGGGGATAAAAATGTTTTCAAATTGATTGTGCTGATGATTGGAGAACTCTGAAATACTAAAACCCATTGAGGCTGAGGTGTAGCTCTGTGCAGGAGCACTTGCCTAGTATCTGTAAGGCTTTGGGATCAATCCCCAAAACTGAAAAATAATTCATAAATGAATAAATTAATTTTAAAACCATGAAGTTGTATATTTTAAGTGTATGAGTTTTATGCTACATGAGTCATATTTCAACAAATGAGTTTTAAAAACAGTTTAAGGTGGTGATTTTGTCCTCAGAGTGGTAAAACAGGATTCCACAGCAGGGTTTCGCTCACTTGGTGCTGCAAACTTCTTGAACAGCTACTCCATAGCTGTGAGGACGCCCTGTGTCTTGTAAGATGCTCGGCAGTACCCACTAGGTGGCCTCTACCGACTGGACGCCAGAAGCTTCCCTTCCTCAGTGGAGGCAGAGTCACTGCACTGCAGTGACAGCTTTGCCCAGGTCTGATGTGGGGCACACCTGGATGGGTCAGGAGGCCGAAGGGACCCAGGAAGGAGTTCTCCTGGGGGAAGGAAGCCAGACAGGTAGAATATTAGCTCTGATATTGGTAAAGAATCAACAAGGACAGGTGGATGGCAGATCTGACTGACTATTTGAAAGAATAAAGAACCTGTGTGGACATGAACACTCATGGGTGTGAGATATAAGGAAGCACTTTCTTCCAGAAAGAACAAAGCTACACAGGGAAGGAAATGAACTCATAGTCCTCTGTTGGGGTCTGCAGTGAACAGTCATGGTAATGTCAACACTGGTTACTGGTGACCCCTCAGGGAAAGAGGCGGAGGGAACATGAAGAGCTCTGTCATAGCAGCAGACCAGTAGATACTATCTAAAAAGGGTCCATCAAAAATAGAAGTCTGCGCAACTCTTATAGAAGTGTGAGAGGAGCTATCTGCAGAGACATCCTAAAGTTAAAAACTGCTTCCTGTGGGCAGAGGAAGCTAGGACAGGAGCTTCAATTTTTTATTATCAACTGATCAATACTATTTGAGTTTTAAATCTATCTGTACACACTATTGTGGTAAAATATTTTTTAAACTGAAGTATTAAAAAGTGAGGATTGTTAAATAACTTACTAAAGAAAATTTTCCAGCTGGGCATGGTGGCATGTGCTTTAATCCAAGGTAGTTGGAGTGGGAGGCAAGAGGATCAAAAGTTCAAGCCCAGCCTGGGTAACTCACTGAGACCCTAAAGAATTAAAAGGACTGGGGATGTAGCTCAGTGGTGGAGGGCCCCCCAGGACCACTGGAAAAAAAAAGAGAGAGAGAGGGGAAGGGAGAGAGAGGAAGGGGAGTGCAATATTTTAGGAAGTGGAAAAAAAGCGTGAAACGGTGTGAGTATTCTGGGTCTCAGGTGATGGATTTGTAGGTGTTATTATTATACTCTTAGACTTCGCAAGATGTACTTACAATGGATGTTTACTAAGTATGTTATTAAAGTATAATAAAGAATACTTATCTAAAGTTATATAGAAGAAACAGAATCGATTCTGCGTTGTACTTATTTTTTGAAGCACGTGAAGTTAGATAGGTACACCTCCATTTTAGGTTGGCTGTAAGGAGAGATAGATTGTAGGGTCCTAAGTCCCAAAATGTTAATAGCGGATGTCCATTACTTGTAGCATCATAGGAACTTTAGATTTCTGTAGTTTCCTTTTTTCTTTTTTCTTTTTTTTTTTTCTAATGTGAAACCAGGAATTGAACTGAGGACCTTGTGCTTGCTAGGCAGGTACTGTGCCCCTGAGCTATATCCCTGGCCTGATTTTCTTTTAAAATCTTCTCTTTTCTATTCTTTGAATGATAATAACAATACAAACATGATGTCTTACCGTCACCGGATTGCAGTTTGCAGTGGCTGCTGCTTGGGAGTAGTAAAAGTGTGCCCCCAGTCCTTTTGATTCTGCCCTTTTGGGTTATGAGACTGATTCCACCCAGGAGACACAACAGTATGTGTCCTTGCTCTATGTTCCACATATGGCCAGGGCCACGGGGTGGACAGACGTGGCTGCTGAGTAAAGCCTGCTTTTTGTCTTCTGAGCTTGACTGGAGTGTTTTAATTGGTGAGGATTTATGGCTCCATTAATACCGCTTATCTGGGAGCCTGGAGAGCCGGGGAATTTTGCCACACTGACTAGCAGCTACTTTCGTGCAGTGGCGTACTGTAAGACTTTAGCTGTGTTTTCCTTTGGCTACTCCATTTGTGTAGGGCTCTAGTTATGGGATTACTTATACCAAGATCCGTAGGAGGTGAAGGGTCCTAGGAATCCCCTAGAATGGGTTGCAGTAAGGCTGTTTACTTTGCCCTTGTGTATCTCCCAGGAGAGGCAGGATGGGTGACTTGAGACTCGTTCAGATACTGTTGTGTAAGTGAAAGTGCCCTCAGTGATCTGAATCTCGGACCTCTGGTTTTAGTCTCAAAGCCCTGAGCTTTGGCTTCCAGGCTGAGATGATCATTTCTCTTGTAGGCACCGGAATCGGGGGAAACTGAGTGACTTAGTAGCTGAGCACCTAGACCACCTGCACTATCTCAATGACATCCTGATCATCAACTGTGAGTTTCTCAACGATGTGCTCACAGACCATTTACTCAACAGGCTCTTCCTGCCACTCTACGTGTACTCCTTGGAGAACCCGAACAAGGTGGGTCTGCCGCTGTCCCACTGCCCCTGCAGGCCATCTTCCAGCAGCGAGCGCAGTGGCCTTGACTAAGCCTGAGCTTTGCAAGGACCAGGGCTTTGTTTGAGGCAGAGGCTTTTGAAGGCTCACTGGTTTCCCCTTCCTTTCTTCCTGCAGAGGAAGAGTAAACTGTCAGAGTGAATGAGAAAAAATCAGATTACTGACAGGAGGAAACAGGAAATCCCTACAACTTCAGGCGTTTCATTTCTGTGTCTCCTCCCTGAGGTGTTCTCATCCCAGTAACTTTCTGTGAGAGTTACCAGAGCTTATTGATTTAGAGGAGATCCAAACAGCAAGAGAACTCATGTGGGCTAGAAGGAAGGAATGTCACACTCAGGAAAAGATCAGGGAGCGCATGCAGGGACTGTGACTGTCCAGGTCACTGGCCTCAGAGTCTCCTGTGGGGATAGGTATGGGTCGTTGGGTGCCCTCCCCTTGGTTCTGGGGTGGGACCCGTAGTTTACCCACAGATTCCGGGGTTCCCTCATAAGAAACATTGCTTCAGGAAGGGGAGGCCTCTGCTGGGAGAGCAGACCCTTAGAAAGAGGCGGGACAGCCAGCTGATCCCCCTGCGGGGACCTTCTCAGATGTGTCCTAGGAGGATGTTGTTTCCTCTTTGGAGATGGAACATGGGGATTCTTGCCACAAATAAGTAAATACAGAACAAGAAAGTTTCAACTGTAATTAGTCCTAGCAGAAGCAGTTCATCAACAGGCTCATCAGCAGGCTTTATTGTCTCTCAGTAAGGGAACAAAAGCCTAGGAATCAACAAAGCCTAGGAATTGGAGTCTTCAGGCTTGGAGTCAAATTTCTGTCTCCCTAATGTCCTAATCCTGTGCTCTCAGACAAAGCAGTTAACCTCTCTGAGCTTACTTTTTTGGCTGCAAAATGAGGATCCTAAAGATCCCTCCCTCAAAAAGAGGGGAAAAATGAAACAAAGCTTTTATAATTAAAGAGAGGAAGTGGGGATGAAAGGGAGGGTCAGGGAAGGGGAAAAAGAATCAAGATATGTCATGTACAGGCACAAATTCCCTATGATGAATGTGATCGTTATGTATACCTAAAATGTATCAATAAACTTAATTAGTTTTTTTAAAAAAGAAAAATAATAATTAAAAATAAGATCTTTTCCTTTCAGGGCTGATGTGAGACAGGGCACTCGAAGCTCAGTAGAAATGAGGTGCTTTTTTGAGACCAGAGTGCCCCAAACCAACCCCCTCCCTTGTATTTTGAAGCCCCTTCCCTAGAACAGGCCTTTCCACTGAGGCTGTAAATCCCTAGCTGGAGAAATGGGTATTCCTGGTACCTTCAGGAGGAAGCACCTTTCATGGGTCAGCCACCCACCCAGGACTAGTGGTGAAGGATTTGCAGGTGCAAACGATGGCCTACCAAACAGCACTCAGTGAGGTCAGGCTGCACCTGTCTTCTAGAGTGAACGTCTGTGGGGCACCATGAAGGGGCCTTTGGATCAGGGAGAAGTCAGGGACCAGGGCACTTCCTTTTCAAACAGTTGGTTGCTGGTGTTGTGTATTTTCTGTGGCTCCCTTTTGTGACCTGAACCCCTTCTGCCTCTTTCCTCACCCTTCACTAGGGAGGAGAACGACCGAAGATTAGCCTGCCGGTGTCGCTCTATCTTCTGTCCCAGGTATGTTTGCTCGTTCTCCAGCATCCTTGGCACGTTACATGCTGCGGTCTTCCAGAGAATTCCCAGGCTGCATCGCCTCTTTTTTGTGTCCCCCATCTTGACATAAAATCACAATATAAAGAAAGGGACATTCTTTTCTAGTCAGTCAACAGAGGTGGCTCCATAGTAAGGGATAGCAATTTTAAAAGAAATGACAAAATAAATCAAACCTGGCCCTTGTGTAATTGATTTTTATGTGAGGCCTGAGGTTTCCAAAACAACCAAGGAACGCTCTTAAATACCCTGGAAATGTGGGCTGCATGGTTTTCATTGATAATTTTTTGAAATAAGCCCCAAGCTGCTGGCTCGGGAGTGCACATACAAAGCAACCTTGGTTTGACAAACTTCCTGTGATGAGGCTATTTTTAAAGGATTTTGTTGTGGTTCTAATTCCCAGATTACCTTCTGAAAGATGTCGTATAGTAGCTTCTGGTCTCAGATTTGTGTCTCAAGCCATTTTGTCTGCCTCACCTCCTTAAACAACTGTGTTTCCTTCTTGTAGTTATGTAATATTTACAAGAAGGGAAAAACTCCATGGTGACTCAGTTACATAACTTTGAAAATATTTTTATTACTAGCAGTCCAGACTCACAGGCCATCTCATTAGCCTGTCAAGCAGTCGAACGTTTGACCAGAGCTCTGCTCTCACTTTTGGGAGGGCACCGATGCTTATTTGCTTTGATGAAAGTCTGTCCTTCTAACTGGATCTCTTGCCACCTCAAGTTTGGGGTAAGGCCAACTCCCATTGGCCTGAGAAGAGAGACTCAGCCACTGGCTCCTGCAGTGGGTAGGCTGACTGGGAGCTTACATCCCAGAGCCTTGTTCTTGAGGCTCTGTTTGCTCAGACCTCTGCACAGTGCCCAGTCTGTCTGAATGCCCTTCTGTGGGACGGAAGTCAGCACAACCCCGGCCTCTCCTGGCAGCTTTTTCTTCACCTCATTATAGCTTCACCAGCATCTCCTGCTGGGGATCCTGGGAGTCTGGTGGGACCCAAGCAGGCCGGTTGCACAGCCACAGGAGTCCTATGGAAACCATCGCCGGGACCCTGCAGCCGTTGAAGCATTGTATGGCTGCCATACCCCAGAGCTGGTCTTTCAGCGGGGAGGCCTTTCACCTTCTGTCTGAGAATACTTCTGTTTTCTTGGTACCTTGGTTCATGAACTTATTTCTTTCCAGTATTTTGGTCCCAAACCAGATTGGATGAGACCTGAATCAAATTTCCCCATAAGGTCAACACTGAACCTAACCATTGAATTTGAGAAGGAAGGAGGGTGCTTATTTGCTACATGTTTCCATGTTGTTCCACTTCAGCTAGATTTGGCTTTGCCCAGCCATGAGGGACAGTCTCACTTGAGTGCGCTTCCTGCTGAGGGACAGCAACCAGCCAAATAGGCAATAGTCTGGAGGAGAAGCCAGTGTTGGAAGAGAGGAAATGATTTTTCCTTGATGTGACCCATTCTTTGGACTTCTTGTGGTCCAGGCTGCTGGTTGTTTCTGATCAGCAAAAGAAGACATTGAAAGATTGCTGTTTTTATTGCATGTCTCATTTCTGCTTTTCCACCAGGTCTTCCTCATTATACATCATGCACCACTGGTGAACTCGTTAGCTGAAGTCATTCTGAATGGCGATCTGACTGAGATGTACACTAAGACTGAACAGGACGTTCAGAGGAGTTCTGTAAGTCACTAGCTTTGGGGCTGTTTTTCAGCCTTTATAAGAAGCCTTTTCCTGTTTTGTTAGTCTGTGATTCTCTAAAATCAGAAACTAATATTCTGTTTATACAGCAATGATGGTGATATATAAGCCAGTCTGGGGGTCAAGAGACCTAATCAGAGCCTGGAAGTGCATACCCAGGAAAGCCTTGGGTAAGGTGCAAATGGTGGATTTGACTGATCATATGTTATTGAAGAGGAATGGTGCCCCCCTGGGCCTCAGATTGGGTATCGAGGAGGCACTGTCACTGGGAGGGATGAGAAGTGAGAGAATGCCCTAAGGCACAGATACCCACCGAAGTTGAGCAGTGACCACCTGTGAGTGATGCAGGCCGTGGGAAGGAGCAGTAGGGAGTGCTGGGGACTGTGGCAGATTGAAGAGCCTTTGCCTCCTTTGTGTGCATCTGTTGTTCCACCTCAGTCCTCAGTTGTTCTGCAGAAATACGGATGTGATGTTGCCAAGTTTTCTCATGCTTCCAAAGAAGCTGGAGATCTCTGTTTTTATGTAAAGTCTTTCAGGTTTCGAATTATCAACAAACTGTGTGTATAGGCTAAATTGAATTTGTGATCTGCAGGATCTTGAATTTGCAGGGAAACACTTGATGATTAGTATTGTAACTTCTTCCAAGGCTTTTCTACACATTCCCTGTGTTTCTTTGCTGTAATCCCTCCTACCATCCTGTCCATTTGTCCTGAGCCCCAGTTCCCCTTATACTGGTCCATCTCACTGTATTTCTGCCTCTGTACCTATGCCCTTACTGTACCCACAACCTGGGAGGCCCGTGCACCTGGTTCCCTCTTGTCAGAGATCATCCTTTCTTTTTTTTTGAGATCACCCTTTGTAAGCTCCTTCTAGCAGGCATTATGTCTGTCACCATAGTGGCTGCAACATGGGCTTGGCATTCATGTCTGAAATGAGCACAGAATGTCTTATACAAAGAGCTGTTTCCTAAGGGCTGGCTGTCCCTGCAGTGAGGTGCTCAGCAGTCAGGAGGCAAGAGTTAAAGGGCTAGGTGGGCCCCAGGGCAGTACCTGTGTTGCCATACCTGGACATGCAGGTAGAATGTAATCCTGCAGATGAAAGGCCATCACTTCAGAGAGTACAATTACAGGAGGCTCCTGCCTTTCTGGTTTTTCTGGTCTACAGTGGTCTGGCCAGGCTGTTTTGTTTTGTTGTGTTGTGTTGTGTTGTGTTGTGTTTTGTTTTGTCTTATTTTTTATTCAAGGGAGCACTAGGACCACTGAAAAGGTCCCCAGAAACTTTCTGTCTGTTCTGGTGGCAGCATCGGTTCAGCCAGACTGAGTGGGACTTTTCCATGGCCTTTCCCATCCTTAGTTCTTTCAACACGAGTTTACTAAGCCTTTTGTGCCTTGATGCTGGTTCTGTGGATAGACCAAATCATAAGTGGCGTGTGTTGCATTGGAGTTTATATTCCCATAGAAGAAACAGGTGTGGGTAAATATACAGATAAATATCCTATCTCGAGTTGTATGAGCGCTCTGAAGGGAAGAAGTGTTTGTGAGAGGTTTTAACTTGGAGATTAAATGTCATGTGCTTTTGGGAAAGATGCTTTGCTACAGTCTAGCTCATGATGTCATTTGGTCTGGAAAATGTACAGTGCCTTGGTATTTATTGAGCCAGAGGTATTTCTATGAAACTTCTTAAGCTAGCTTTTGTTAAGTGCAAGTGGCAGATGCCAAGGCAGTAGAATGAGAAGTCCTTCAGTCAGAGCTGCCAAGTGTCCCCCAGCAGGGTGACCTTGGGCAAGTTGTTTTACCCCACGTAGGAAATCAGGAAAGCAAGCCCTACTCTTGAAGCTGTTGGCGACGATGGGAGAATATACATTCTAAGTGCCCAACAGATTGCAGCCTGGCCCTCAGACCTGTTTGGTTTGGTCTTTACAGTGTTTAGAAGAAAATTTTATAAGTTGCTAACATTAAAATTTATAAAATCTCACATAATAATCTTGATTTCTAGAATGTCTTGAACAGCCAGAAGATCTGGTCTCCATTATGCACAACTTTCTGCATAAATCTTCACAAAGGCTACCTTGTCTGATGAGACATATGTTTGCATTAAATTTGCCTTGTGCCCACCCAGCCCACTGCTAATTGACACTCTGTTTACCTTAATAACAAATTTGAGATGAATTGGGTCCCCTTGACCTCTGTGGTAGCACATCCCAAGAGGCTAAGGCCTCTTCACAGAATGTCTTCCCATGGCAGTGCTGCAGCTAGACTTGGTGTTGTAAGAGATGAGCTCAAAGGTCTTTGAGGGTCTGGGGCTCCAAGGTTGTTTTAAGTTGTGGTAATACTTAATGTGAGATCTACCCTCAACAAAACTTGAAGTGCGTAATATGTTATTGTTGACTGTAGGCCAATATTGTCCAGCAGATCTCTGGAACTCATCTTGAAGTTCAGGGTACTCACATGCCACAGAGCTATCTATATAATCAATACTTTATACCCATTGAGCAACTCCCCATACCCTGCCCCACCCGCTGCAGTCACCCTTGTCCTCTCTAGTTCTATTAGTTTGAAGACTTTGGATGCCTCATATAAATAGAATCGTGCAGTATTTATGCTTCTGTTACTGGCATATTTCATTTTGTAGAATATCCTCAGAGTTCATTCATGTTGTTACATATGGCAGAATTTCCTTTTTTTTTTTAACACGGAGTAATATTGCATTGTATGTATATACCCATTTTCTTTATCCATCCATCTGTTGATATGCAGTTTCTTTAACTGAAGTTTTTTTACTGAGATAACTGTAGATTTGTATGTAATTATAAAGAGTAATAGAGAGATATTCCCCCTTTCCTCCAAGAGTAGCATCTTGCTTGCGTGGTGTCACATGCAAGACGTTGTTGTGGATGTGCTGGGTTTGCAGCTGGAGCAAGAGCACACTGCAGATTCCCAGTGACTTCTATCATAGGACACCCACTTTGATTGAACTCTCTTCTCAGAGGGAGTGTTTAGGAGAGCTGTCCTTCTTCCTGGGGGCCTCTTCTTGGGGTAAGAGACACACAAAGTCCCTTTTTTTCACAGTCACAGATCATGCTGTCATGGTGGATGCCTGAACTGAAAGTGAGACTCTTTCTAGTGTGGAAGGAGCAGAGTGAAAGTGTTGGCTTTCTCCTTCCGCATGCTGCCTTTCCCAGGTGTGAGATCAAAGCTGCTCATATTTTGTTGACTGCAGTTGAAATTCGGGAAGAGGATCCAGAAGTAAGGTGAATCTTATCTGTGACTTGCTTGACAGTAGCTCTGTGCTATTTACCTTCCTTCCCTATGTGCAAGAAGAGTCTCCTATTGTTTCCTGCCTGGCTCGGATGTGGTTGATCAAGCTTGTTTTAAGTTTCTTGGTCTTTTTTAACCTACTTTCTCCTTCCCGTAATTTGTAGATAAGTTACTGGTATTGCTTCATTTTTACCAGCAGACCTCTCACAAAACCAAACCAAAATTGAAGAGAAAGAAGCAGAGAGGAGAACAGAGTTGTTCAAAAGGACTGTAATTTAGGGTTAAATTTAAAACACATCAGCATGGTTAGATAAATGTCTAATTGAAATTCATCTGTGCATTGAAATCATATGGTTCCTGCTAAGGGATAATTCTTGCTGTAATTCTAATGCAGAACAGATAGTGTTTCTTGTCTGGGGAGGCAGAATAAGTGAATACTAATTGTGAAGCTAGCATTTCAATATTTTTGCAAAATGAATATAGATCAAAATTTGGTAAATATAGCTGGGCATGGTGGCACAGGCCATATTTCCCACACTTTGGAGACTGAGGCAGAAGGATTGTGAATTTGAGACCAGCCTCGACCATATAGCAAGTCTCTGTCTCAAGAAACAAACAAACAAGAATATATGTGTTATTACCTGTCTGTGCATTTTACATTCCTTTGCCTTTGTCCTTTTCTTTTTTTTTTTTTATTTTAAGGATAAAAGGAGGGAAACATTAGCAGACATACAACATTTTACAACATATCACAAGCACAATACAGACAATGCAGAGTTACAAACAAAGTGGTAGGGAATTAACAATGGTAGTTGTATTACATATTGATATCTTCAAAGTGGCTTCTCATGAAAACAGATATAGACATGCAATACTGGTCAACCAAAGCTTTGTCCTTTTCTTTAGCACATGTCTGCTGTGTACTTGTGCTGAGAGACTGGGGATGTGTGGTTGCATAGCAGAGATGCACCCCTGTCTGCACTCACCCCCATGGGAAGAGGAGACTGTGACCTGAAGATGCCTGGATTGCCTGCTGTTGCAAGGCTTGCCAGAGATACTAGGGAGAAGCTCAGTGCAGAAAGGAATGTTGCAGTGGGTGCAATGGCAGCAGGGACAAGAGTTCTCGTGACCTTGTTCTAAACAGCTCTCAGAGCAGAAATCACCTCTGAGCCTGTCACTAACACTCCACCTTCTCCAGAGCCGGCCTTGGGGAGAACTGTCAGACTAGGTTGCTTCTGGTGCTGTTCTACATGCTTCCTTAAGAGTCAGCTGAGCTCTCTGGACCCAAATTGCTGGGGAACCTCAAATCTGGGGTGCTCATTTTATTAGGTATCCCAAATTGAGTTATTCTACCTTGCTGGGCCTCAGTTTCCTCACCTGCACAATGAAAATAACAAACATGAGTTTATGGTGTGGATCAAATACTGTATATCGTGCTTATTCCAAAGCCTGCTCTATGTGAGTGTAGAAATATTAGGTGTCATCATTGCAGTGATCTCAGTTTCTGAGGCTGAACAGAGACCTCATACCCTGATTTGGAACTTCCCCTGGCAAAGTGGTATCTGCTTTGAGGAACATGGAAGCAGGCACTGTATACCCTTGGGCAACACCTCATGAACGGATACAGAAGTCTGGAGGGAGACATATTAACAGTGATGACAGTAATGAGGGCAGTTAGTGTCATGTGTTGAGTGACAGTGAGCTAAGCCCTCTCTGTGTGTGCAT